GACTGTTTCAGTCGGGATTCGAACCTCAGTGAAATGTACGGTGTAATAATATTGTTATAATTATTTTAATATTTATGCTAATAACAATTATATGTCAATGAATGAGTCCCGGCCTATTAATTAGTTCCACTCTATTTTTACCAAAATGTTAAGTTTTGAAGGATTTTCCTGCAGAACATTATTGTTTTGTGGGCAGTGTAGCAAGTGTAATAAAGGAAAACAAAGCTTTTTAGAAGAATTAAAACATTATTTAGTCATGATGAACTATAAATGTTGCTCAGGTCAACCAGTTACAGTTGAGTAGAACAAGAGATGAGCAGTTGTGTTGGAGAACAGTACAGTTATAGGTAGTTTCGTGAAAATAGTTCCTTATTCATTTATTTGTCCGACAAATAGTTAGAGCCTTGCTGATTTTATATATAAGTTGTCATACATTACAAAAATTTTGTTAAGTTGTTACACATTATAATAATAATAATAATAATAATAATAATAATAATAATAATAATAATAATAATAATAATTTAAAAAAAAGAAAGAAATGGGAAAGGCAAGAGATCTGTCTCCTCAGAAAATTGTGAAAGCATTTGCCGAGAAAATAACGCTAGTCAGGTACCATCATCCACAACTGCTAGAGTCTGTATGGGCATATATTAACAGTAAACTAAAAAGAATTAATGCTTTAATAGGCACCAAAGGTGGCCTGACCAAATAATAATGAGTTTTATGCTTGGCGATTTTTCTTCAAAATTAGTTCATTTATTGTCCTGACTAACACAATTTTACATATGATTCGTCTTTTCACCTGAATTATGGGAAATTCTTTGTAAAAATGATCAACAAAAAACAACAACAAAGGTTCAGAAATCATGCATTTCATTGTATTTACAGACTCAGCATGATATAAAAACAAGAAGAAAATGCATGATGAATTACAAAAATTTGTGATGAAAAGTTGTTTTATCTGAGAAAATTATTTTTTATTGGTAGGTCCTTAACAATTTTTCGCTACTTTTTTAACATTCAGCTGCCACTTGAAAGTTGTCTAAGCTATCTGGGATGAGCCGTGACTGTCGTGTTGGCTAACGGTTCGGCCAACACGTTGTGGCCATCCGCAGAGCATACTGCCAGCAGAGACATTGCTCGATCCGGTTAGCCTATACAATACAAACTCCAGCCGCAGAAGCCTAAGCAATTGGAACTGTTAAATATCTAGTAGCACGAGCCAGCCTCCAACTTCCAGTTAATCACCAAATTCAGACACCTCTGCAGCTGTATGCCCGAGCTAAGTATAATATCAAAGGAATTATATTTGCTTTTGCAAAAGGGGAAATTCAAGCAAACAAAAATTTGGGGAAAATAATTTTGGTTTGCTGTCCCAATCAAAGGTATTACTCGTGCAACTTTTCTTAAACAATGACCTTGCTTCCCCCTTCTAACACAATAAACAGTTGAAGACAAAAGCTCGCAGGGTGCACTGATGACAACATTCCAAACACGTCTTCACTGGGGCGAAAGAGAAACTATTTTTTGAAGACAAGAATTTCTGTGCATGATTTTCTCCAAAAAATCTGAAGAAATGACTGAAGCAGGTGAAGATTCATCACAGGAGATACCTCGAACTCCTGAGAAAGTTAGAATGCAAATTATTGAGAAAGTTGTGAAGGCATGACTGATTCTCCAGGGATTGGCATTGCTTCAAAAAATTTTACAAATTTCATAATAAAAATGGTCGGAGTTCTGAATTCTTTCAATAACCACAGATGACATATTGTAGGCATAAAGTACAATTATCTGAGAGTATTTTGGTTTTTGAAAATAGAGAGAGAGAGAGAGAAAAAAGTATTTTTACAATTGATTTTTAAAGATTTTTACTTATTTATGCCCTCTACGATCTTGAAAATTTTTTGTTGTGCAATTTTTCTGTTGTTTGACATCAGTAGTGTTAACAAAATATTAGACAAAATTTTATATAAACAATCTTAGCTTGGAATTTTTTCATGCAACAATACTGGAAAATTTATTAAAATTGTTAAATATTTAATTATTTTTAGATAAAAATTACATTCCAAAAATCCCCCCCTCCAAATGTTTACATATTGCTAAATCTGAAAACAATTATTTTCATGATTTCTGAATCTTCAATTTTTTGTTGACTGTTTTGACAAAGAAAGTCCCTTAAGTAATTTGTATTTCTTTAGAAATTTCATTGCTTTATTGTTAAAAATATTTATAGAAAATATTATTTCATCACAAAAACCTGATTTTTGTAGAAAATATAAGATGTGAGTAATAATAGGGCCAGGAACTACACAAACTGTCTAAAAATCACATTATTATTAATAATTATATTTCGAATAGTATCTGATTCCATGTTATATAGCATATCATTTGTGATATATGTTATAACTTAATATTTCCTGATTAGGGGAAAAAAAACAGATTTGAAGTTGGAAACAAAGGTGGAAGGAAGTAATACAAAAGGTTCTTATGGAAAAGAAGTGGATGTAGTATGAAACATATCTGAATTCTGAAGAATCTTCAGAAATGAAGGTCTTATGGTTAGAAAAGGATGTAGCAGAACTGAAAGACATACTTTGAAAAAGGAATGTAGTGAGGAAGATAAATCAAACGATAGCACAAAATCAAGGGCAGCTTGGAAAACAATGTTTCAAAAAATATTGTGTTGAAAACTGACATAATTACTCAACAAGTGAAGAGAGACAGAAATAAATTTAAGTTTTTTATGATAGAAATGAAGATATTTGTGCATGAAATAAAAGAGCTCATAGCTATAAAGAACAAAAAAGCTCCTGGTCCTGCAGGTAATCATATTGAGATATTGAAATATGTCTCGGATGTTTCGGAATACAAGGTAGAAATATTTAATAAATGTGTATGTGTACAAGCATGCTCACATGTACATGTACACGTACACTCACTCACACACACCTCCCACCCATAGACAGATATGCACCCCACACACACACACACACACACACACACACAGAAGTTTATAATTATGAACATACGCACAAATAAAAAGTTTATAAAAATTACTTCAGCATTTCTCTCGTTTGGGAGCATAAGTAAGGCAATACCTTGCCATTACAATTTATCTTAACACTGTAGTGGTACTAATTTGGAAAATCCTCTTTCACTGTTGCTTTAATTTATTATTCATGTCTACCTCCGTTAAGTTTTAAGAAAATTTATAATATTATAATATATTCGTCTGGTATGCACTCTCCATTCTCGATTAGGAGAGCAGCTGATTAAGATATAGATCATAATACAAGAAATAAAAAAGAATGTAGGTACTAGAAATATACAAGTATACAGTATTAATTCTCTTTTATTTATATAACACATGATTTAAATGTCATGTTAGTTAACAAGCATTTTTATTAAATTTATAAATACATTACTTTTTCTTTACAAGTTCTCTGTGACACAAACACAATACAACAATGTATATACAAACTTGATAAGAAAATAATTAAAAATGTTCTAAAAAAAGTATTGCATTCGTTTTATCATCCAATCTATGTTATTATTCTTACATTTCTTTTTAGAAATTTGCAAATTCAATGAGTTAATCATACATGATCCCGGAATATTTTTGCACCTTTCCTCAATTTTTTCTTATATGTAAAAGAGACACAGTTGCAAAATGTAACTTACGAAGTATTACATGTAGAGCAGATGTCAAGAATTATCAAACCAACTCAGTTTGAGATTTTCAGTATCTTAAGTGTTTTGTTTAAAGTTATTTTGTTTGACTTGGCCAAGAAATTTTGTTTCTTGTTCTGGACTTAAATTGTCCTCATGAAGTTTTATATTCGTGTATTAGTAAGGTTGGTATGCGAATTGCGAAAGAATCCCACAGTTATATATTTACAATTAGTTTTTAATGTAAGAATCAACTATTTATGTCTTAAAAAAATGCAGGACAACATTTAGGTAATCTCTAAAGAGAAATGTTTTAGAACTTTATGATGAAAAGATTTTAAAATGATTAAATGATCAGGATTTTGATACAGAAACTAGTACTTAGAATTAAATAAAAATTAATAAAAAACTGATGTTTACAATTTATTACAACAGTAATTTTCATCACTATATTTCATACTCGAGATATTTTTTACTGTCATTTCTGGATATTTGACTTCAATTCAATTACTTAGAAAATAAGCTTTTAAAAAGTAGTTCTTTAACCTAAAATCTTATTACCTCTGAGAATTCTGAATTGTAACAATCCTTAAAATGGTTTTAGTTACGCAAGTAACAGGTGGCTCAGGGCATCAACTGATGTCACTGCAGTGCCTCTGACTGGGAGGTCCTAGGGTTCAAGTGCTGATGGTGGCAAGATTTTCAACACTAGCTAGATAATAAGATAAAAATCATCCACCGTCTAGAGCAGAATTCTAGCAGCCAGCTGCTCTGATTGGGAATTTTGTACAGTTTCTCTAATCAACACTGGGTGAATGCCGGAGTAGTACCCTAAAAATTGGGCCACAGACCATGCAAGATCTTTCCTCCCTCTTCCTTGTCCTATTTACCTACCCCTTACTTACACTACCACACATGTTGGGAGCTTGTAGCATGTGCTCACTGAGGCTTGCATCGCTTCTCCCCATTTAGTGGGGGAAACCCCTCAAGCCGTAGGTCGGCACCGGATCTGTTCATCCAGTATGTGTGGATTACCACCACAGCTCATGATAACACATGCACTACACTTACGGGACTAATGAATAGATCAGATGACACACACAAAAACATGAAATAATCAATTAACATTGTATTATAAAATTCCACCTTAAAACAAGAAAATCTTGAAGTACTCACTGTCTTCATGCTGTGGTTCCAGATAATTGCAATAGGTAACAATACAGCCAGTACTCCAATAACCAATGCTACAGAATGTAAATGAAGGCACTTTAATTTATGGTAGGACAATAAAGCTTCGCAAATTTTGAAAATTTATTAATATTATTATTCTCACTTCAAAGTATTTCATCACATGCAAATATAAATACAAATTTAAGAACCAATAATTGTGGCGAGTAATGACAACAAAATGATTCCAACAACATTTTGTAATTAAAATATTTTTCAAGAACATTGTATAATATATTTATTTATTCACAGGAAATTGTTCAATTGATGCATAATACAACAGTTTGTTTAATTCAGGTAACAATAGATCAAATTCTTACTGTCAGAACAAGACAATACAATATAATAAAAATTGACATTTTTAAGTGTATAAAACTCATATTAAATTCCATAAACCAATAAAATATCAAATTTCTCTACAGTTCTTTGAAGATTTTTAATGAAGTTCACTCACATATACTAGAAGATCGGAAGTTTGAAGACCTATTGGTAGAATCATCTTTCAATTTCTTATCCACGAGTTTTAATACTGTGTCACAGTCACTTTCAAGAGCATTCAGTGTATTCTGAATTGTCTGATTGATCATTCGTTCAATATCTTTACAAACCATCTCAATCTGATTGACACAGCGTGCATTCTGACAACAGACATTAAAAACAAAACTAGAATACAAATAACAGAATTATTGTTGGATGTAAGGGTCAATTTAAGAGGAGATTTTTTTGCCACAAATGCCTTGGCAAACTCTAAGGGAAAATAACACAATTTGCAACTCATGACTTTATATGAATGAATATTATTGATCTGAGAAAAGTCTTAAAAAAGTTCCAGGCATTTCTCAATCTCATACATTTACTAGACTTGCCTTTGATTAAGCAAAGGAAAAGTTCAGGTTGCATGAAGATTCTTCCATTCAAAAATGCAAAATAAGGACTGGAGTCAACATTTTATTGCTGAGTAATGCCAACCTCTTTTGGTTATACTTACTTCCTTAGGAATATAAATTGTAGGCATATCAAATCCAGTTCGATTAAGACCAGGTCTTTTGCACAACTCCTGCACAATCTGCATCATAACCCTACGACAAGATTTAATGAATTACATTTTTACTGTCATTAAGAAAATATGTTTTTGTTTATTTGTTTTTTTAGTTCAGTAAATGCACCTTTGTCTATCTGATTCATCACCAGCATCATCTGCTTTTGAGAGATAAAACCGCATTTTATCTGTATGGGCATTATTCAACTTTTCCACAAGGTTGAGGGTTCTTTTGCATAATGCTTGGCCAATTGGATCAAAAAATGTAAATATTAAATCAGCCATTTTTCCTAAAACACAAACAACTTGTATATAAAAAAGATGCCATATATATATATAGACACACACACACACATATGCGCGCACACACAAATCAAACAATAAGATAATATTTTATTTAACTTTAAAAACTATGTTGGGATGGAGAAGAGGGTAGGAAAATAAATTGAATTTACTTTATAGCTAGAGACCTTCCCAACGTTCAAAGGAAATTAAGAAAAATGCAAATAAAATGGGTCCCATAGATGGGTATGTAGATGCAAAAGGGGATGGGATGCAAAAGATCATCACTGTTCTAATATATGTGTAATATTTTAGAATCATTCAGTACAAAAATTATAAATACCCAAGTATCATATGCATTAGTATATTTAAATACCAAATATTTAACATCTTTAATACAAAATTTAGGGGGTTGATTTGAAATGTAGAGAGAATCATTAATAAAACATTCAGCATTTCCTATGCTAATACTCAGTATCTATAACTTGCCTCATTTTCCTTACGTTTTAATGCTTTCAAAATAATACAAGTTTAGGAAATAATTTCATGTAGCTAGGTAAGAACCCAGTAATAAAAAAAGCTAACAATTCAGACAAGTTTTGCATTATATAAGTTAAAACATTTAATTAACATATTCATCAAATATGTAATAGAATAACAATTATGCACTAAATGATGCTCAAAATATCATAATATTTCATTTTAACTACAATATTCTGTTAAGAATGTGTGCTGTATATATAATTAAATATTTTATTAAGAGATCACCAAAATTATCTATCATTTTATTTGAAGCTCACGTATTAATCTTTTCCTGTTGGAAGAAATTTTAAAAATGCTAAGCATCTTCAGTACTTGCACACTTTATCTCAGAAGTGATATATTTCGCTCTGAAATTAGCAAATTCAACTCTTTTTCGTTTTAAGTGCATGCATCAACAGTAACTTCCAGAAACTAGTGAAATACTCACTTGCATTAGAAAACTAAACATCTTATGATTCAACTAGTATGGCTACATTCTGTTGTAATTGTTCAACTATTCCAGACGCAGATACTGATGAAACAACAGCATGACAATAAATAAATCACTGAACAAAGGTTAAAGATCTTTTATGATGCATGCCATTCCCATGCAATTCCAATATTCCTTCCTAATAATTTTGTGAAGATGACTTCTAGGAAACAATACGTTCTCCGAGTATTACAAAAGAGAAGATTTGCAGAGCATATTTGAATGGCAAGGGAGAGGAGGAACAAGGGAAGAGGGGTTAGGGAGCAGGAGGAGCAAATGGAGAAAGAGGAGGGAGGAAGTCAAACAAGATTAAGAATGATTTAGATTACGATCATTAACAGAACAAAATCTCTGATCAACGCACAAGATATCAAAACCTGATTCATGAATAGGAAGTCAGAATACAATGGAAAATTCAGAAATTGATTTGAAAGAAAAAGAATACATAAGATTTACAATAAATACTTGATATGCTAAATTGTTTATTAATATTTCCCAACTGCTGCTACCTTTCTTTTCATTTTGTTATTATAAATCTAGTAATTATTAACAATTTAGAAAAACATGAGTTTCCATAGTACAATCCTGAATAATTAAACTATACTCTTTTGCCTTCAATAGGATCAAAAAAATAATTTTCTAGAAGCTATAAATATTCTCAAATAGTCATTGGAAACAATACAAAAAATTAATTTGAAAATTTCTTATTTCAACTTTAAATAGTGAGAACCATAGGCCCCAGATTAAGGAAAATTATTAAAATTGGTGAGTGAATGAAGTGATTGGGTTAATAATTTGAAAGAATTGTGTTGAATAAAAATATTATTTTATTTTCGTTTTTGTATTCAATACATGGATAATAAATTTTTTACAGGGAAATATTCTAGGCTTCCGATACTTTTATTCTTAGCCACTTTCATAGTATGACACAGTGCACACACACACACACAAACACACACACACACACACACACGTATTTATAACAATGATAAAAACCTCAAAAATAATTCTTAGTTGAATGAATGCTGTTTACACTTAAACTGCAAAGCATATATAGTAACATTTATTCTAACACACTACTCAAATCTACAAAATAATTCCGAGCTTACATGTATACTGTTAATCAATTAAAACAGTCTGAATATATTCGTAATACAACTCACGCAAAAAATGTGTATTTAAACATAAATGTACATATATGCTCATGGAAGTCTATCTTACCAAGCCACAGAATTGCTTCATTTACATCAAATGGATATTGCATATCCCCATCTACTAGGCCTGGAGTGTCCACAAACGTGACCAATGAAAATTTTTTCTGTTTTGATGTAGATATTTCTGTTGAAAGAAAATCTACAACACCTGGGCAAAAAGTATTACACTTACATTAGTATTACACCTACTGATAAATGATGTAAAAACATTTCAAAGAATATCTATAAAAGGCTTTGACAAAGCACATTGTTGCATGAAAATAAAATAATGTTAAAAATTATTGATTATTATTTCTCCTACAAGTAATCTGAATTTTAAAAAATTCTTAAAGAAACATTATCATAAGCAAGTCTAATTACAAAAAGATTACTAGATTTTTTCAGTTAATTCAGGAAAGCTATTTAACTTGTGAAGAACAAAGATAACATTGGATTTGCATTTATTTAGAGTATTATACTGGAACTATAGAATAATAATGAATAAAAAATAATAAATATCAAATACAATGCACAGCAATGTACAATAATAAATATTAAAGTATCAATCAAACTGAAGTTAAGTAGATTCACTGAAAAAATCAGATGGCCTTAGTATGTAGGAGTAATAATAAATTATCTAATAATTTTATAACATTTCAAAAAAAGTAGGTAGGATTAATTGAAATCCAGGGATATTTCGAGGATGGATTTTAAACACGAGTAGATTCGTAAGGCTGGGGACTGTCCCCAGGAAACGAGGATGACTGGTAACATTAAATCACAAAAGCAATTAATCAGTTCGCTGGGCCAACCTGACCACTATGTTGCCCTTCACTAGGCAGCTTGCAGTTGCAAATCAACAAGGTGCCCAGTGATGAGCCGCATAGGGGCCGGATGTGTGCGGGAGAAAATTGGAGATCTCCACAAGGCTCGACCCTCACTACTCATCTGTAAGATCTTCGGCTGGAAAATATACTGAAAAACAATACAATACAATACAATACAATACACAGTACAATGATTATAAAATACTATTCTTAAATACGAGACAGTTAAAAAAAATATCCAGTATCTGCAAATATATGAAAAGCTAATGATAAATTTTATCACAAAAAGAAATTGTTGTAAAAAAATAGCAAAAAAGTAAAAACTCAGATAAAGTATCTGTAATCTGAAAGTTCAAGCACAGCTAATGATATAATTTATCACAATGGCACATAACTGAATGTTGGTTACGTTAATCTCGCTGCATCACCTACATCTACCTCCAGTATGTACAAGAGGTAGCAATGTGTCTACTGCTATCAATACTAGTCCAAGACCTGCCACCTGCAGCTCCCATCTGGCCACTGCCATGTCTTCAGGGCCTGCCACGCTTTATAGAAGCAGGGCTCAGGCTCCATGAGAACACAAGGTTGCCAACATTGATTATGAACAGAAGGAAACATGGAGGGGGGGCCCTATGGAGTGGGGGGGAAAAAACTACAAACATTGCTATACATGCCCAATCTCATTTTGAAGAGAAGCCAAAAATAGCACCTCAAGCTACAAGAGAAAATGTTTGAAGTAAAGAAATAATATAAATTAAATGCCAAAACCGCATTACAAAATAGTATCATTCTTAAAACAAATCTTGATGAGAATTTAACTTTCAAAAATGCACCAATTTTTTAAAATATAATACATTGTATGTTTTGTGAGGGGTGTCAAAATTATATTTATTCATATGAGTACACTTACACATCATGAACAAAATGTTTCAAAAGTTATGTTTAGTCATGAGCCAATTATTTACACATTATTTTATGTATTTTGTAATGCATATGAAAGCCTAAAAAATACTTCTTTCCATGAAGGTATTTGGAGAATATGTTAATATAAATTTGAGCTCATCTGCAAACACAGATAGATAGTGAAATTTAATTGATGGTATAAGGAAATGTCCAGTATGGCTAGAAGCAAAACCTAAGCCTGAACACACAACTAAATATGTAACAGCCAGCTGCAACAGGAAGCAACATCCTGGAAGTGTGTGGTTGCTAGAGGAAACGATAAGCATGTGGCTTCTTGATAACATGGTAGTGTTTCTGAATGCATAAGCAAGTTCAACAAAATTTTTAATACAAGTAGCTCAAAGCCTTTTGTGAATAATGTTAATAACATATAATTAACAGAAACAATAATAATAATAATAATAATAATAATAATAATAATAATAACAATAATAATAACAACAACAACAATATTAAAATGAATTTTGAAATTAATTAAATACATCTTCATATCACTTTTTTCAGGTATACTGAAAAAACAAAAACACAAAAACAAACAGACAACAAAAGGAAATATATAAGAAAAATGATTCACGTTAGGTTTTGTTTTAATTCACATCTCAATGAATTTAAACAGGTTTTTTTTCTTTTCATTTTTAGTTTTATTTAAAGTAAAGTTAGTTTTATTTAAAGTATTAAAGTATATATTTATATTAACAGCACTTATTATTTCCTAAGGATGCTTTAGAAGCACAGCATTGAGAAAGAGAAAATGGAAGAAGAGCATAATGAATGCAATTTACTGAAAAAACAGATGAAACTACCATGTGCACTAATGAATTTATATGCATACAAGTAAGAAATTAAATTAAATTCAGTAAGACATCATAACAAATCATGACAATTTTATTACAAATCAGAACTGATCGAATTTTTGATGCACCAGAAAATAATAATAATAATAATAATAATAATAATAATAATAATAATAATAATAATAATAATAATAACAACAACAAATATTATTTTGATTTCTTAGAATTCTTTCTGGTAACTAGGAAGTTTTTTCAATTTATTTTCATTATCTTTAAAACTTTCAACAATTTAAGAACCATGACAAAGAGGCAACAAGTCTATTAATTAAAGTCCAAGAAATGTTCCTCACAAGTACAGATAGATCCAACCTAAAGTCACTGTATAAAACTCTCTTTTGTTCTTTATGATAAGATATGATAAGACACTAGTATAATCATATTTTTAAAGTAAATTTGAAATTTCGAAAACAAGTGAGATGAATTGACTGTAGCAATGAAATGAATTCTTGTATTAAAAACAGTTTGTTATTCCAATATTTTTTAAAAGGAAGCAACCTATTTATTATCCTACCTTGGATTTCCTGAAGAGGTCTGAAATGAGGATATAAATGAAGTGTAGCATTTCCCTGAAAGATAATGTAATGCTCAATGAAAAATTTCGTTTCACACCTACACACACACACACAAATTTCTACCATAGCATTTCACTTTTTACAACAGCATACCATGAGAGATTCCCGTTTCTTTCCACTGGTAACTATAACAAAGCCCTGGGTCTCAATAGCCACCCCGGTTCGCTGAACATGTTCTTCAATATACCTGTTAACAAATTCAGTAGCCTAAGTGTTTACAATACTTACCATCACATACTGTTTCATAACATAACACTCTAGTACTCAACCGTTAAACAATTTAATAAGGTACTGGGACAGAATATTTAACAGTTATTTATTTTTACATTCTTTATCATCCTCTCTAAAATTAATAGCTTTTAGTAACATGTTTTTCGTTTTCTATTTTGAAATATTTATTTAATAAGCTAAGACTGAATTTTGTTAACAAAATGTTTGGAAATGTAGCTTAGAAGTAGAAACATTTTTTACTGAACTAAACGTTAAATATCCTTACAAACCTCAATTAAAAAGCTTAATATAATTCTAAAATTTCAAAACAAATTTGAAAATTCCAGGACTATAAAACCTCTTAGCTTCTTCTAAGTGTTATTGCATTTACAACATTTTAATTTGTCTTCCGTTGTTATTTTTAAATTATACTCTCTTAAGTGAATTGACATCATCACCCTCTGCCTTGCCAGTTACTAAAGTCAGGAAATTGATAAAGACTATTAAGGCTTTGTCTTATTCTTTTTAGGGTAGTATTATGATGATAATAGTTGGTGTAATAAGTAGACAAAAGAATTTTTGACAAATGCCCATTTTCCTCTTACATGGTCGAGTTTATTGAACACATTTCATGACTTTACAATATAAAAGAATTACATCTGCAACTTTTAGACATGCCTATTATGTAATTGAAACTATGGAAAATAAAACCAAAAGTATTCCTAGGCAGAAAATGAGATAAGCTCCAATACGAATTAAATAAGAATCTCAAATTACACTAACTAAAAAGAAGAGAATATTAATACACTCTATTATTCCAATATTAAAATTTAAAAAATGTTTTTCAGAGTTTAAGATAATTTTTAGTCAAGACGTCATTAATGTTTTAGCAATTAACATTTATCTTTCTTTTAATATTTCATATCTATAATTTTAAGAAAACAGTTTCAGGTAAAATAAAATTTACTTGCAGAAAGTTCTATGGATGTCAATCTATACTGCCTATTCAAGTATTTATACAGCTTATTTCTGCCATTTAAGCAACCTTTCACACTTTATACATTTAATATCCAAAGTTTGATAATAAGCAACTGCCACTAAAAGGAGAAATAAAAAAAAAAATCATATATAAGACCATACATTAAAATATTCGTTTATTCAACCAACTTCCTCAGTATATTAAAGATGAAAGATACTATAAAACAATGTGTCACAATTTCCTGCTGGACAATTATTTTTATTCAGTAAATGAATGCCTATCAATTGAAGCTCTACTTAAAAATTAAGATATAATAGAACCTTTATTAGTTGTGGAAACAGGGAGAGGGGGGGGGGGGTCGGATGGATAAATTAAAACCATGATTAATTGATAATAGATCTTCATTCCCCTCCGACATAAACCTCTCTATTTAATTATTTTATTAAATGTACATACCTGAAGATGTTTGTAACCAACATGCAAAACATTGTGTATGGAAAAATAAAGACTCTTTTTGACAATGAACTTACTGATCAAGTGTCCAAAAACCAAAGGATATTTTTGTTTAATTATTAATATTGTTTTGATCAATGTTAATGAAATCTGGAATTGACGTGACCAGATTAAAGCAATTTCTCCCTCTTTTCTATTTTCATCATGATAGACAATCTAAGCTTTTTATCCAGGGAAGTCTTGACCTACTTGCAGGTATGTTTTACCAAGCACCACATACTGTAAATACGAAATATTTTATGATCCATATTTTTAGAAGTTCTAAAAATTCCTTCATTGAAGCAAAACAATTTTCCAGTCAATTCGAGAAAACACTTTTTGTGCCTTTGTTTCAAACAGGAAATCACACCTCAATCCATTGACTGTGGTAAAGAAGACATGCCTTGATCTACTGGGTGTATTAAGTGGTAGAAGGTGAACAAAAAAAAAAAAACAACCATCTTTTGTTTTCAGGGTAAATTTAGAGGAGTGTGAATGGGCATTATCATGAACAAGGAAAGTTCTTTTAGGTACTCCTAGCTCTTTCTGAAACTTTGTTACAGAATACCCTTTCATACAATTATTGTATGAAAACATTGTATAATCATTTACAAAAAATAACTTGTTTCATCCAAACTGTTAGGTGGTTGTAATAGTCATAACGAAAACATCTCATTTCTATACCTTTGAAAGATCTTGGTTTCCCAGTTATGGCTAATTTGATCTTTAATGTCCCCATCACATTTGAAGATGTCAAATGGTCAGTTGTTCTTTGCTAGATTTGCGTCCAGGAGCTGATTTTTCATATCACGCAGCGTGTGATTTTGAATGCATTTTCCAGAATAGACCTGACTTATCTGCATTGTACACTGCATGAGGGGGCAAGTTCAATGATGAAAGCAATGAATTCAATTCATTCCTCATTGAACAGCAATGCTATAGTCAAATCTCCAATAAGAGATTTGCCTTGGATGTTCAGCTATCTTATTCTGTGCCAAGTTTTGAACTTAAATAACCAGCCCTGTAAAGCCTTGAATATTTCCTCTGTTTTCAAATTTCCATGAAAACATTTTAGTGTTTCAAAAACCATTGGCCCAGAAATCCTAATTCTTTCAGTCTGCCTTTTTGGTAATTAAAACCCCTTTGGTATTTTTTCCTCGAAAGAGTGAGCATAGGTAATCACGAACAAGGATAATCAAGGTTCTACTGCAGTTTCTTTGTATTATTGTTTATAATAGTTGGTTGTATTATTGTTTTTATAATATTTTATAATTCAACAATTTGGCAGTAACAATTTGGTAGTTTAGAAAACTGTTAACTTTGAAACAACCCATTTTGGAAAGATTGCTTACATTGATGACAATTTCACTTTTTAATTCAAAGCTTTTCATAAAGTAGTAAATAAATAAGATTGACCTAGTACTAAGATTGACTTAGAATAAATAAATAAATTTCAGAAGAAAATGAAAATTGCTGGGTTTCAAACTAACCCTCTCTTATATGAAAATGCAATTGTATTATTTTTTTTAAATGAAACTTTATCATTATGTTTTTTGGACCTTGTTATTGTTTGGGTTTGATGTTAACACAAGTTTATAATTAAAGTAGTTATAAAAGCTATTTTCTTCGGTTTTACTATGTAAAAAAATCAATATTCATTTTTGCTTCACTCACTATGTTTGGACAAGACAACTCACTATTTAACTACTTTCAGCTTTACTGAATGCTGAGAGACCTGTTATGTATTTGTTTAGATGTATATGTTATATGCAATATTTCTCTCCTAACTTTTTCTCGGAGTGTATGATTACTCAGATGGAGTAAACTGAAAAAATGATTATATTGTGCATGTTTTGTTCTGTTTTGTTAAGAACTTTTATAACTTATAAATGTGTTTCTGTTCCTTTATTACATGGTATTAAGAACGTAGGGATATTTATATTAAATACTACAAATGATTGTAGTTACTGTTGTTCCCATATTTGCATTGTGTCTGTACAAATCTGTGAGCGCATGTGTGTACTTGCATTTGTTAAGTTAACACATCATAAGTGTTGTATGTTTTAAATAAAATTACTTGTTTCCTATCATTTGTTGTGATGAGTTGGGCAAATAAATAATCTTATTTTATGTACTATACGCAATTGGTTAATGAACAACACAACATTCAATTCAACATTCAACATTCCAATTCAGATTTTGTGAATTCTAAAAAGTGATAATGTTGTGAAACAAATTAATTTTCACTTTCCTTTCTTTTTTGTTTTCCCTCTCTTATGAAAACAAAGTGCTCTATCTTAAGTAACGTTTAAGATTTTCTATACCTATTTAGCGTATTTTATTTATAACTAGTCTTACTTATTAATAATAACAATCCAGTTCCAACTTCTGAAAAACTCAAGTAATGATTTGATTTAATATTTGCACATCATTTTCAATTCATGAATAATTTCAAACTGATAAATATATTAAACAAATCATATTACGTTGAAACAAATAATTAGGAATGAATTACTTTGCAACATAACAGCCATATTCATAATTATATTGGATTTTATTATAATTCAGACAAATTCAGTTATTACTGAGGAAACAATTTATACTTCCTTCAAAAACAGGAAGTTCTGGCCAGGAAGTGGTCAGTAACTAACCACAAGAGACTGGAATTTCTTCACCCAGCAGGGCCAAGACACACCCAGAAAAGCATGAGGTATAAAAATATGAAGCTTTTAAAGATTTTCAAAAATTCAAATCTTTCACCAATAATTTTAATAAAAATTATCTTTAAAACATTATTACCTAGTTATAATATTAATAATAATATAAAAAACAACTCATATTTAAGAGCAAAAGAGAGATATTGTACTTTGTTAATTTTCAAAAACCGCTATCAATAATTAATCTGCACCATTGAGGTAAGCAGCACTATGGTACCAGCAGCAAATATATTCCTTCCAGGGCCCTGATCATGTATGTACAGGGAAGCCCCCATTCAAAACAAACAAAAACCAAATTAAAAGACCATTACAGTTAAACCTTTCTTGAACAAATGAATTAACTATTAACAAAAGAGGTGCTATATGATCTGTTAGTTAAAACCCAAGTTTTTGTTGGAACACATCAGTTACCCTAAATTTTTTGAAGCATAACAAAGTACCCTGAAGAGATAGGGCATTCAATAAAAAGTATACAACTTCAATTTCATACCCAACACACCCCTGATTATCAAATACACCTAATTTTAGCTGAGAGAAGTTAATAAAAAAGTTTATCCTCCGAATGAAAGTGGATGTGATAATGTTTTGATTGCTTTGCTAGCAATTTCTTAAGAAAGCAATGAAATTGGAACAAAAAAGGTAAAATATTGCATTTTAGCAAAAATTGGACACATTCTGTCAAGTACCCTCCAATTTGAATTAATTTTTTTTATTACCCATGCTGTATAGGGCTAGTTTTCATCTCTCCCCTTTTCTAATATTAACAGGCACAAGTCACAATTACACTAT